CCCCACCCCACCGGTGCTCCCGGTGCCGGTACCTGCGTGCCGCCGTTCTCCGTGCGAAACACATACTTGATGTTGGGGTCGGGGAAGGTGGCTGCAGACTGGATGCTGGCAATGGCGACGCTGGTGGGATCCTCCCCTGTGGCCACTGCACCTTAAGGCAAGAAGGAGGTTTAGGGAGGCACTGGTACAGGGTATCCAAGGGATGGGGATGCTCAAGGCCAGGTTGGACACAGGGGCTTGGAGCAAGCTGCTCCAGTGGGAGGTGACAGGGGTTGGAGCTGGAGCAGCTTTAAGGTCCCTTTATCCCGAATCATTCCATGATTCTGCCCCATAATAGGGAAAGGGGCCAAGGCAAAAGGTCCCTGTGATGCTGAGGGGCTCAGCGCTGTCCCCTTCTCTAGCACAGACAAGGGCAGGGCCTGGTTTTAAGCGCCTCCAGCCCCTTCTTACCAGTGCTAAACTGGGCATGGCCAGGGCTAAACTGGGGCAGCCGCAGCCCCAAACCCCCCCATAGCCCAGAGGGGGTCCCCACTCACCTTCCTGGATCTGCACTGTCCCCTCTTCTGTCTCGGCTGCTTTCTGCTGCCTGCAAGGAGAGGAGCAATGGGTCGGGGACCCCACAGCCCATTGCTGGGGACCCCCCGCAGCCCATTATTGGGGACCCAATAGCCCACCGCTGGGGATCCCCCATAGCCCATCACTGGGGACCCCCATAGCCCATCACTGGGGATCCTCCATAACCCATTATTGGGGACCCAATAGCCCATCACTGGGGACCCCCATAGCCCATCACTGGGGATCCTCCATAACCCATTACTGAGGACCCCCATAGCCCATCACTGGGGATCCTCCATAACCCATTATTGGGGACCCCACAAGCCATTGCTGGGGACCCCCCCATAGCCCATTATTGGGGACCCCACTGCCCATCACTGGGGATCCTCCATAATCTATTATTGCGGACCCCCATAGCCCATTACTGGGAATCCTCCATAACCCATTATTGGGGACCCCACAGGCCATTGCTGGAGACCCCCCCATAGCCCATTACTGGGGACCCCCCATAGCCCATTATTGGGGACCCCACAGCCCATCACTGGGGATCCTCCATAACCCATTATTGAGGATCCCATAGCCCACTGCTGGGGACCCCCATAACCCATCACTGGGGATCCTCCATAACCATTATTGGAGACCCCATTAACCTGTTACTGGGGACCTCCATAGCCCATTATTGGGAACCCCAGAGCCCACCACTGGGGATCACCCCTAACCCATTATTGAGGACCCCACAGCCCATTACTGGGGATCCCCATAACCCATCACTGGGCATCCCCCCTAACCCATTATTGAGGACCCCACAGCCCATTACTGGGGACCTCCATAACCCATCACTGAGGACCCCACAGCCCATTACTGGGGACCTCCATAACCCATTATTGAGGACCCCACAGCCCATCACTGAGGACCCCCATAGCCCATCACTGGGGATCCCCCCTAACCCATTATTGGGGACCCCCCATCCCACCCCATGCACAGCCGCACCCCGGGCCCCATCTCACCCCTTCATCGCTCCGCTCCGACGGGCATCCGCGGGGCAGACGCAGAGGAGGCTCCGGCTTCACAGCCCTGCAGGGGCAGGGGCAGGGGGGGCTCAGCCGGGGCCGTCCCTTCCCCCCCATCCTCCTCCTCCTCCTCCTCCTCCTCCCGCTGTCACCGGTACCCCCGCGCCCTCGGGCCCCGGTTCCGCCCCGCCGCGACCCCCGTTCCTTTGTCCCGGTTGCGGCGCCGGGAGCGGGGGTCCCGCGATGTGTGTGTGGGGGGGTTCCGCACCGCGCCCCCCGCGGGTTGAGCCCCGCGGCACCCCCCGGGCCCTGCGCTCGGTGCTCCCCGAGCGGGTCCGGGCACAGACCCGGGTGTCAGGGCCGGGGGAGCAGCGGCGGCGGTGACAGGCGCGGGGGGAGCACGGGGGAAGATGACAGGGCCCGAGGGGGGGCGGCGGGACCCGGAGCACGGAGCGGGGCGGGGGGGGACGCGCCCCGGCGGCAGCGCTGGGCCGCGGCTGGGCCCAGTTCCCCGCGGCCGGGCCTGGCCCCGCGGCTCCGCGGGCGGGGAGGGCGGTGTCGGCCCGGGCCTGCCCCTCCCGCCCCCGGCGCGGTCCCGGCCGGGTCTCGGCGCCCCTCGCCCGCCGCCCCCGGTACCTGTCCGCGCCGGGCCGCCCTGCGCGCGCTCGGCCCCTTGTCTCGCCATGGAGCCCCGCACATGCGCACGGTGCCGCCGCGCCGCCATCACGGGCCCGGGCGGAAGCGGAGCCGGTGCCCGCCCCCTTCACACCTCCTCCGCCGCCATCTTGGGCCGGGGCGCAGGGCGGCCGCCATCTTGGGGCCGGGCACGGCGCCATCTCAGCGCGCGCGGCCGCGGCGGGCGCCATCTTAGACGGCGAAGCTCAGCGGCTCCCCCCCACCAGCCGCCATCTTGAGTGAGGGCAGCGCCATCTTGGAGCCGGGCACCCCTCGCAAGGCCCCGTGCCCAGCCCGGGCGAACCGGCGCTGCTCCCGGTATCGACCCCCCGAGGTTAGGCCCCCTTCTTCCGCGCCCTGTCCCCGGCCCGGCCCTCGGAGCCCCGCGGGGACCCACAGCCCCACGGTGGCTGGAAGCCGGCGCGGCCGCCGCCATGTTGTGCTGAAGGAGGCCGCAGCGGTAGACAAAGCCCAGCGCCTTTATTGCCCCTCGGCCCCGGGCCCCACCGCCCTCCGCGGGCCCGCCCGGCTCCCCCCCGCGTCCAGGGACAGCGGCCGCAGCGGGGCCCTGTGCGCGGGCAGGGCCGCGGCCGGGCCGGCGGTCACCGGCTCCTCGCCGCCGTACGTCTGGATCCGGCGCACCGGGGCCCGGCCCGGCGGCAGCTCCGCATCCAGGGACACGCTCCCCCGGGCCCGCCAGCCCGCCCGCCTCAGCGCGGGGCCGCGGGCAAGGGGCGGCCCTTCCGGCGGTGCCGCTTCCTCCTCGTCCTCCTCCTCCGACGGGACCGTAGCAAACTGCGGCTTGGGGGGCACGACGGGCACGGAGCGCGCCTGCAGCACCGGCGCGGCGCGGGTGGCCAAGCGGAGCCCGGCCGCGGGTTCGGGCAGCACCGGCGGCTCCGGGCGGCTCGGCCCCGCGCTGCCCTCGGCGGCACCGGAGGGAAGCGGGGATGGAGGCACCGGTTGCGGTTCCCCTTCCCCAGGCTCCCCCGGGGCGCTGGGAGCGGGGTCGGTTCCGGCCTCTTCGATGTCCTCATCCGAGGCGTCCGGCCCCGCTCCCGGTGCCGCAGTGGGGTCCCCATCACCCGGTACCGGGCTCCCCGGGGGCTCCAGCGCTGCCCGCAAGGGGCTGAGGTCATCGTGGGCACTCAGGAAGGTCTCGTCCGAGTCGGTGTCGTCGGGCGCCATGAAGAACATCTCGTCCATGCACTCCTCGATGGACAAGTAACTGCAGGGGGGCTCCGCCGTTGGCTCCCCCGGCTGGGGCAGGGGACAGGGGCAGGGCGAGGGTCACACCGGGACGATGCCACCGTGCCCCTTCCATCGCCATCGCATCCCTGCCCCTTCCAGCCCATCACATCCCATCCATGCCCATCCCTGTCTTCTGCTCTCTATCCCATCCATTCCACTGCCATTCCATCCCTGTGCCCTCCATCCCTATGGATAGGATGTATCCATCCTATCCCGTCCCATCCCTCTTCTCCTCATGCTCATTCCTGTCCCTTCCATCCAGTTCCCATTCCGTCCATCGCTTGTGTATCCCTTCCATCCCATCCCTATGCCCTCCATCCCATCCCATTGCTGTCCCCTCCATCCTATCCCAATCCCCTCCATCTTTACCCTGCCTCTTGCATCCCCATCCGTTCTATCCCATCTCTGTCCCTTCCATTCCTACTGTGTCCATCCTATCCTGTCCCATACCTGTTCTCCTCATGCTCTTCCCTGTTCCATCCCATTCCCTCCACCACATCTCTGTCCCCAGTGTGTCCATCCCATGCCTGTTCCTTCCATCCCATTCCCATTCCATCGTGTCTCTAGCCCCACTGTGTCCATCTCAAACCCGTCCCTTTCATCCCATTCCCATCCCCTCCATCACATCTTTATCCCCACTGTGTCCATCCCATCCCATTCCCACCCCCTCCATCACACCTCTATCCCCACTGTGTCCATCTCAACCCTGTCCCTTCCATCCCATTCCCATCTCCTCCATCACACCTCTATCCCCACTGTGTCCATCCCATCCCATTCCCATCCCCTCCATCACACCTCTATCCCCGCTGTGTCCATCCCATCCATGTCCCTTCCATCCCATTCCCATCCCCTCCATCACACCTCTATCTCCGCTGTGTCCATCCCATCCATGTCCCTTCCATCCCACCCCCTCCATCACACCTCTATCCCCACTGTGTTCATCTCAACCCTATCCCTTCCATCCCGTTCCCATTCCCTCCATCACACCTCTATCCCCGCTGTGTCCATCCCATCCATGTCCCTTCCATCCCATTCCCATCCCCTCCATCACACCTCTATCCCCGCTGTGTCCATCCCATCCATGTCCCTTCCATCCCATTCCCATCCCCTCCATCACACCTCTATCCCCGCTGTGTCCATCCCATCCATGTCCCTTCCATCCCATTCCCATCCCCTCCATCACACCTCTATCCCCACTGTGTCCATCCCATCCATGTCCCTTCCATCCCATTCCCATCCCCTCCATCACACCTCTATCCCCACTGTGTCCATCCCATCCATGTCCCTTCCATCCCATTCCCATCCCCTCCATCACACCTCTATCCCCACTGTGTCCATCCCATCCATGTCCCTTCCATCCCATTCCCATCCCCTCCCTCACACCTCTATCCCCGCTGTGTCCATCCCATCCATGTCCCTTCGATCCCATTCCCATCCCCTCCATCACACCTCTATCCCCGCTGTGTCCATCCCATGCCTGTCCCTTCCATCCCATTCCCATCCCCTCCATCACACCTCTATCCCCACTGTGTCCATCCCATCCATGTCCCTTCGATCCCATTCCCATCCCCTCCATCACACCTCTATCCCCACTGTGTCCGTCCCATCCCATCCATCCCATTCCCACCCTCTCCATCCCAATCCCCTCCCTCCCTCCCCACTCCCGAGCCCTCCGCTGGCCGCTCACGTTCATGCACCCGCTCTCCATCCCGTCCTCGGTTCCTGCCATCCCCTCTCCCTCCCCGGCCGTGCCCGGCGCCAGCTCCCCCTCCCCGGCTCCCTCCAGCCAGGGCTCGGGGCTATCCAGGAAGGCGAAGGAATCCCGGAGCTCCATGGAGAGGCGGCTCCGGGCCGCGGGGGACGGGGGCCCCGGCTCTGGAGCCTCCCCGCCGGCATCGGGGCAGGGCAGCGCCCGGGGCAGCCGGGCCAGGTTGGCTGCGATGCGCAGGGGGACGGTGACGGACAAAGGCACCGAGATGTGGAGCTCGGCTCCCCTCTGGGCTCGGCTGCGCCCGGCCCGGGGGGTGCTGGGCTCCGAGCGGGCGCTGCCCTCGCCCTGCGCCTGCTCCGGGGGCTCCTCCCGGCCCTCGCCCGGCTCCCGGCAGCGCCCCGGGGGCACCGGGCACGCATCGAAGCTCTCCCGGCGCTGCGGCGGCTTCCCCGGGGGCGGCTCCTCCGGACAAGGGTCCCCTGCGCCTGGAGGGGAACGGTCGGGCTCTGCGGGTGCTCGTCCGCTGCATCCCCCCCATCCCATCCCATTGCATCACATCGCATCCCGTCCCATTGCATCCCACCCCATCACATCACATCCCCTCCATCCCATCCCATCCCATTGCATCCCACCCCGTCCCATCTCATCCCCCCCATCCCATCCCATTGCGTCACATCGCATCCCCCCCATCCCATCCCATCCCATTGCATCACATCGCATCACATCCCATCCCATCACATCCCATTGCATCACATCTCATCCCATCCCAACTCATCCCCCCCATCCCATCCCATTGCATCGCATTGCATCCCGTCCCAACTCATCCCCCCCATCTCATCCCATCCCATCTCATCCCCCCCATCCCATCCCATCACATCACATCCCATCCCATCCCATCACATCCATCCCATCCCATCCCATCCTATTGCATCACATCACATCCCGCTCCATCGAATCCCACCCCATCACATCACATCCCGTCCCATCTCATCCCCCCATCACATCCCATTGCATCCCACCCCATCACATTGCATCCCATCACACCACACCCCATCCACTCCATCCCATCAATCCCATCCCATTGCATCCCACCATATCCCATCCATCTCATCCCATGCCATTGCATCCCACCCCATCCCACTCCATCCCATCCCACCCAATCTCATCCCATCCCACCCCATTTCATCCCATCACATCCCACCTCACCTCATCCCACTCCATCCAATCCCATCCCATCCTGTCCCATTCCATCCCACCCAATCCCACCCCACCCCATCCCACCCCATCCCCACCCCATGTCTCCTCCCCTCACCATCGCTGCCGGGGGGCACGGCGCTGAGCGAGTCCATGCTCTTGGCCGGCCGCAGGCTCCTCGCGCCGCCCTTGGCCTCTGGGGTGAGGAAGGGGAACGGGGGTGGCCCCAGAGCCCCCCCGTGGGGTCCCTCCCCCCGGGGGCAGGAGCCAGCCCCACCTCGCTCCTGCGGCGCCTTCACCTTGCGCTTGGGCTCGTGGCTGGAGCGGCCCAGGTGGAAAATGGATCTCCAGTTCCTGGCCTTGAGGGAGCCCTTCCTCCTGCGGGGCCGGGCACGGGGACCCGACACGGGTGTGTGCAGGAGGACACGCGTGTGCATGGGGACACGCGTGTGCACAAGGACACATGTATGCAGGAGGACACGGTGTGCATGGGGACATGCGTGTGCACAAGGACACACATGTGCACAAGGACACATGTATGCAGGAGGACACACATGTGCACAAGGACACATGTATGCAGGAGGACACGCGTGTGCATGGGGACACACATGTGCACAAGGACACATGTATGCAGGAGGACACGCGTGTGCACAAGGACATGGCTGTGCATGAGGACACGTGTGCACAAGGACAGGGTGTGCACGGGGACAGGCATGTGTGCAAAAGGACACGGGTGTGCATGATGTGTGTGTGCAGGAGGACACAGATGTGCACGAGGACACGCGTGTGCACAAGGACACACATGTGCATGAGCAAACACATGTGCCCAAGGACACATGTATGCACGAGGACATACGAGTGCATGAGGACACGTGTGCACGAGGACACATGTATGCACGAGGACACATGTATGCACGAGGACAGGGGTGTGCACGAGGACACACGTGTGCACGAGGACACATGTATGCACGAGGACACATGTATGCACGAGGACACACGTATGCACAAGGGCACATGTATGCACAAGGACACGTGTATGCACAAGGACACACGTGTGCACAAGGGCACATGTATGCACAAGGACACATGTATGCACAAGGACACGCGTGCCCCCATAGGGCGCTGCTCCCACCTGTGCTCGCTCAGCTCGATGATGGTGTGGTAGGGCCGGATCGGGGGGGGGCCATCGCCCTGGCTCAGCGCCGCCGGCACATGGTACGGTGGCGGCTGCCCCCCCCCGGCCAGCAGCAGGGACCGCTGGGGGCTCTCGGCTGCTGCTGCCACCAGACCAGGCTGTTAAGGTACCAATGGACTCCCCCCCCCCCCCAATCACCCCCCATTTGCCCCATAGGACGCACCCTGGAGGGGAGCATCCCCAAAGAGCTGCTCCACGTGGGTCAGGATGAACTCCACCACAATGGACTGGACGCGCACCTCCATGAACGCCGCGGTGCCGTTGAACCCCGACGCTTCGATCTCCTTGGACCTGGTCACATCCTCGGGGTCACCCCCCCCCCCCTTTGTGTCCCCATGCCCCCGGTGCCATCCCCATAGCCCGACCCCGCTCACCGCAGCAGGTTGGGGGCCCACACGATGGCCAGGTTCCTGGCGTGCATGTTGGTGCGGGTGCTGTGCGCTGCCATGCGCAGGAGGTGCCGCATCAGGAACTCCAGGGTCCTGCGGCACCGGGGGCATCAGGGACAGCGGCACCCCGGGGGGCAACACCCCCTATGTTGTGTTACCCCCCCCCCCCCCCCCATTACCTATAATGGGGTGCGGGCAGCTCCTTCAGCACCTCCTTGATCTTCACCAAGCGAGCTCCCTCCAGCTGGGTGCCCACCGCATCCTGAGGGGGACCGGGAGCGGGTGATGGAGCCCCGGCTCCCGGCTTGGAGGTGACCGAGCGCCGCCTCTCGGGTTGGGGATGGGGGCTCACAGCGAACTTGTGGTAGAGCTGGTAGGTGAGCAGCGGGTTGGGCAGCTCCCGGCAATAGGCTTTGCACAGGGAGCTCACGCAGTGGATGTCCTGCAGGTAAATGTCCCTGCGCAGGTCCGGGCAGCGCTCGCTCTCGAACTCCTGCCTGCGGTGGGGTGGGGATGGGGATGGGGTGGGATGGGGGTGGGGATGGGATGGGATGGGGATGGGGATGGGGATGGGGATGGGATGGGGGTGGGGATGGGGATGGGGTGGGATGGGAATGGGGATGGGATGGGGATGGGGATGGGGTGGGATGGGGATGGATGGGTGGGGATGGATGGGGTGGGGATTGGGATGGGGATGGGAATGGGATGGGGATGGGAAGGGGATGGATGGATGGGGATGGGATGGGATGGATGGGATGGGGATGGGGATGGGGGATAGGATGGGATGGGATGGGGATGGGAATGGGAAGGGGATGGGGATGGGAATGGGATGGGATGGGGATGGGATGGGATGAATGGGATGGGGATGGGGATGGGGGTGGGGATGGGATGAATGGGAATGGGGATGGGAACAGGGAAGGGGAATGGATGGGATGGGGATGGGAATGGGAATGAATGGGATGGGGAGGGGAATGGATGGGGATGGGATGGGGATGGGGATGGGAATGGGATGGGGATGGGATGGGGATGGAGATGGGAATGGGATGGGGATGGGGATGGGGTGGGGATGGGGATGGGATGGGATGGGGATGGGGATGGGGATGGGATGGGAATGGGGATGGGATGGGGGTGGGGATGGGGATGGGGTTGGGATGGGATGGGGATGGGGATGGGGATGGGATGGGGATGGGGATGGGGATGGGGATGGGATCGGGATGGGATAGGGATGGGGTGGGGTGGGGATGGGGATGGGATGGGGATGGGGATGGGATAGGGTGGGATGGGGATGGGGTGGGGATGGGAATGGAATGGGGATGGGGATGGGAAGGGGATGGGGATGGGAAGAGGATGGGGGTGGGATGGGATGGGGATGAGAATGGGATGGGATGGGATGGGAATGCGATGACGATGGGGGGATCCCCCTCTCTGGCTGCCCTGGGGCATCCCTGGGGTGTCCCACGGGCTGTTGTGGCTGCCGGGGAGCAGGCACAGCACTGATGGGCTGGGTTGGTGAGACAGGGCCTTGGTAGCATGGGGGGATGCTGGGAATGGGGGCACATTGGGAATGGTGGGGACTGGGGGATGCTGGGGATGGGGCATGGCAGGGGATGCTGGGGACACTGCGGATACAGGGGATACAGTGGATACAGGGGATGCTGGGGATACAGGGGATGCTGGGGACACTGCGGATACAGGGGATGCTGGGGTTACAGGGGGTGCTGGGGGTACAGGGGGTGCTGGGGACACTGGGGGTGCTGGGGACACTGTGGCTATGGGGTGTCGGGGCCGTTACGGCCAGGGGGGATGCGCCAGCGTGGGGAAAGGGGCAAGTGCAGGCCCTGGAGCCGGTAGGGGTGGGAAGGAAACGGGGACTGAAGAGGGAAGGAGGGGAAGGGCTGGAGCCGGGGCTGCGGGGTGGGAGGGCCGGGCCACGGGGATGGGTCTGGGTTGGCTCCTGCCCTGGCCCCATCCCCATCACCCTCCCCCTGCATTCCCGCTTCCTCCTGTCTCATCCCACCAGCATCCACGTGCTCCCGTGTCCCCGTCTGCCTCCTTCCAGCTCCCAGCTCCATCCCATTCCCGTCTGTTTGACCCAGTCCAGTCTCCGGCTCCATCCTGGCTCCCTCCGATCTCCAACCCTTTATCTCCATCCTTTCTCCATCATCTCCATCCCAACTGCTCCAGCTCCACCCCATCTGCCATTGTGCCTGTCTCCATCATCTCCATGATTTCTTCATCATCTCCATCCCATCCACCTTTGTCTCCAGCTCCATCCTTTCCCCATCATCTCCATCCCAATTCCCCCAGCTCCATCCCCTCTGCTCCCGTCCCCATCATCTCCATCCCATCTCTTCCTGTCTCCATCATCTCCATCCCATCCACCCTTGTCTCCATCTCCACCCTTTCCCCATCACCTCCATCCCAACTGCTCCAGCTCCATCCCCTCCACTCCTGTCCCCGTCCTCTTCACCCCATCTCTTCCTGTCCCCATCATCTCCATCCCATCTCTTCCTGTCTCCATCCTCTCCATCCCATCCACCCTTGTCTCCAGCTCCATCCTTTCTCCATCATCTCCATCCCAACTGCTCCAGCTCCATCCCCTCCACTCCTGTCCCCATCCTCTCCATCCCATCTCTTCCTGTCCCCATCATCTCCATCCCATCCACCCTTGTCTCCATCATCTCCATCCCGTCTCTTCCTGTCCCCATCATCTCCATCCCGTCTCTTCCTGTCCCCATCATCTCCATCCCATCTCTTCCTGTCCCCATCATCTCCATCCCATCTCTTCCTGTCTCCACCCCATCCACCCTTGTCTCCAGCTCCACCCTTTCCCCATCATCTCCACCCTTTCTCCCCCCGCTCCATCCCCATCCCCGTCCCGTCCGGCCCCGCTCACCGCAGCCGCTGGATGTTGGAGGACACCCCGGAGAGCCGGTAGATCCCATCCACCACCCCGTGCTGCTCCACGAACTCGGTGCAGCTCCTCAGCACCTGCGGCACTGGATGGGGGGGGGGCAAGCACCAGGCCCCATCACCCCTCAGACCCCCATCCCCGGCCCCCCCTGGACCACTCCAGGACCCCCAAACCTCAAAGGGGCCTCACCGGAAGCACCCGATTGCGGCGCTGCCCCAGCACCGGTGGCGCAACCGCGGTGAGACCCAGCCCTGGCACCCCCGGTGCCCCCGGTACCCCCGGTACCCCCGGCCCCGGTGCTCACCCTCCTGCCCCGAGCGCTGCAGCAGCTGCAGGAGGTCGCAGCCGAAGACCCGCTCGCGGGCACCGCCCTTGCGCCTCGCCTTGTGCCGGGACATGGCCGCCATCAGCCCCTGCCCATGGCCAGCACCGGTGCCGCGCCCGGGGCGCTGCGGGCGGAAGCACCCGGGGAGGAAGTGCCGGGGCCGGGGGAAGCGCGAGGCCTCTGCCGGCTGCGGGGCGCAGCAGGGAGGTGGTGGCTGCCTGCGAGGAGCTTCCTGCTCCCGGCACCTCCAAACCACAGCCAACGAGCGCCAGCGAGAACCAACGGTGTGGGTGCACCAGTGTCATGTGTGCGCCAATCATCACCAGCATCGTGTGTGCACCAGTGTCATCTGTGCGCCAGTGATCACCAGCATTGTGTGTGCACCAGTGTCATGAGTGCACCAGTGTCGTGTGTGCACCAATGTCATGTGTGCACCAATGTGATGTGTGCGCCAGTCATCACCAGCATTGTGTGTGCACCAGTGTCATGAGTGCATCAATGTCATGTGTGCACCAGTGTCATGTGTGCACCAAGCGAGACCAACGGTGTGGGTTATCTCACCAGCGAGAACCAACGGTGTGGGTGCACCAGTGTCATCTGTGCGCCAGTCATCACCAGCATTGTGTGTGCACCAGTGTCGTGTGTGCACCAATGTCATGTGTGCACCAGTGTCATCTGTGCGCCAATCATCAACAGCATCGTGTGTGCACCAGTGTCGTGTGTGCACCAATGATCACCAACGTCATGTGTGCACCAGTGTCATGAGTGCACCAATGTCATGTGTGCACCAGTGTCGTGAGTGCACCAAGGTCATGAGTGCACCAATGCCGTGTTTGCACCAGTGATCACCAACGTCATGTGTGCACCAAGGTCATGCGTGCACCAACGTGTGAGCACCAAGGTCGTGTGTGCACCAATGTAATGAGTGCACCAATGCCGTGTTTGCACCAAGGATCGCCAATGTCATGAGTGCACCAATGTCATGAGTGCACCAATGTCATGAGTGCACCAATGTCATGTGTGCACCAGTGTCATGTGTGTACAATGTCATGTGCGCACCAGTCATCAACAGCATCGTGGGTGCACCAGTGTCATGTGTGCGCCAGTGATCACCTGCGTTGTGTGCACCAGTGTCGTGAGTGCACCAACGTTGTGTGTGCACCAAGGTCGTGTGTGCACCAATGTGGTGTGTGCGCCAGTGATCACCAAGGTTGTGTGTGCACCAATGTCGTGTGTGCACCAAGGTCATGAGTGCACCGATGATCACCAATGTCATGTGTGCACCAATGCCATGAGTGCACCAATGTCGTGTGTGCACCAATGTCGTGTGTGCACCAGTGTCGTGAGTGCACTAATGTTATGTGTGCACCAAGGTCATCTGTGCACCAATGATCACCAATGTCGTGTGTGCACCAATGTCATGTGTGCACCAATGCCGTGTGTGAGCACCAATGTCATATGTGCACCAACATTGTGTGTGCACCAAGGTCGTGTGTGCACCAATGTCATGAGTGCACCAACGTGAGTGCACCAATGTCATGTGTGCACCAGCAATCACCAATGATCAGCAACACTTGTGAGTGCACCAATGTCGTGTGCGCACCAACCTTGTGAGTGCACCAGTGATCACCGACACTTGTGTGTGCACCAACACTCACCAGTGAGCACCAACGTTGTGAGTGCACCAGTGAGCACCATTGAGCACCAACATTGTGTGTGCACCAATGATCTCCAACACTTGTGTGTACACCAATGATCACCACCAAGCACCAATGCTGTGAGTGCACCAACGATCACCAACACTTGTGTGTGCACCAACAACCACCAGTGAGCACCAATGTTGTGAGTGCACCAATGATCACCGACGCTTGTGTGTGCACCAATGTTGTGTGTGCACCAACACTCACCAGTGAGCACCAACATTGCACATGCACCGGTGATGACCAATGCTTGTGTGAGCACCGATGTCATGTGTGCGCCTACGCTCACCAGTGAGCACCAACACTGTGTGTGCATCAATGGTCACCAACACCACCAATTGTGTGTGCACCAATGATCACGAATGTTGTGTGTGCACCAATGTGTGTACACACCAGCAATCGCCAGCGAGCACCAACATTGCATGTGCACCCATGATCACAAATGTTGTGTGTGCACCGATGCTGTGTGTGCACCCATGCTGTGTGTGCACCCATGCTGTGTGTGCACCCATGCTGTGTGTGCACCCATGCTCACCAACGCGCACCAGTGCACGCCAACGCTTGTGCTTGCACCAGCACTTGGGTGCTCTCATGTTGGTGCTTGCGCACGCTCCAGCACACACCAGATGTGCTTGTCCCGGTGCTGGTGCTGCTCATGCACACATGCATGTGCTCCTGTGTGCTCACATGTGCTCCGGGGCACCCAGGTGGGCTCCGGGCACTCCTGCTCCTTGTGCACCAGGGTGCGCTTGTGCACGCTTGTGCCATACGTGAGCACGCTTGCACACGCTTGTGCCATACGTGAGTGCACTTGTGCACTCTTGTGCCATACGTGAGCACGCTTGCACACGCTTGTGCCATACATGAGTGCACTTGTGCACGCTTGTGCCATACGTGAGTGCACTTGTGCACTCTTGTGCCATACGTGAGCACGCTTGCACACGCTTGTGCCATACATGAGTGCACTTGTGCACGCTTGTGCCATACGTGAGCACACTTGCACACGCTTGTGCCATACATGAGTGCACTTGTGCACGCTTGTGCCATACGTGAGCACGCTTGTGCATGCTTGTGCCATACGTGAGCATGCTTGTGCATGCTTGTGCCATATGTGTGCACACTTGTGCCATATGTTTGCGCACTTGTGCACACTTGTGCCATACGTGAGCATGCTTGTGCACACTTGTGCCATACATGAGTGCACTTGTGCATGCTTGTGCCATACGTGAGCATGCTTGTGCATGGTTGTGCCATATGTGTGCGCACTTGTGCACACTTGTGCCATACGTGAGCATGCTTGTGCACACTTGTGCCATACGTGTGCGTGCTTGCGCACGCTTGTGCCATACGTGTGCACACTTGTGCACGCTTCTGCCATACATGTGCCCACTCCCAGCATGTGCTTGTGCCATACATGCACGCGCTTGCACACACTTGTGCCATACATGAGCACGCTTGCACACGCTTGTGCCATACGTGTGCGTGCTTATGCACGCTTGTGCCATACATGTCCCCGCTCTCAGCATGTCCGTGTGCCATACATGCACGCGCTTGCACACACTTGTGCCATACATGAGCACGCTTGCACACGCTTGTGCCATACGTGAGCATGCTTGTGCCATACGTGTGCATGTTTATGCCACACGTGCACCCACTCGTGCACACTCCCACGTGCCCGCACCCATGCACCGCACACGGGGGTCCCAAGGCCCGCAGGGGTTTATTTACAAGCGGGGCCGCAGCAGCGGGGGGGGCCCCGTCCTATACAGGGTCTGTACACGGGGACACGCGTCCCGGGGACCCCCATCACCAGCCCCACACATGGGGGACCCCCACGGGGGCTGCCGAAGGGGGGGTCTGGGGCTGGGGGGAGGAGGGGTAATGTTGGGGGGTCCGGGGTTTTGGGGTGGGGGTGAGGGGACGGAAGCTCCCCAAGTGCCGCCCGCAAAGCAGGAGCCGGCCCAAAGTCCGTGGGGGGGGGGGGTCGGGGGGCTCCTGCCCCTGTCCTTGGGGGGTGCGGGGGGGGGGGGTGCCGGTGCCTCTGTCCCCTCCTCGCCCCCCCCCATCGCTGTGCCCGCAGGCAGGGCTGCGCACGGAGCCTGTCCCTCACCCTGTGCCCGCAGGGGGGGGGGGGGGCGGGGGGGGGGGGTCCCATAAACGGGGTGACCCCCCCCCCCCCAAAAACCACCCCGAACCCCTTCGATGCGCAGCGGCTCACACGAGGTGCCCGCGGCCGTTGATGTAGATGCCGTTGGTGGTGGGCTTGGCCTGGAGCATCCCGTTCTCCTGCACGAAGTGAGTCATGGCCTGCTTGATGGGGTCCTCGCCGCCGCGCCCCCCCCCCTCCTCCTCCTCCTCCTTGGGCTCCTTCCCCGCCGCCGGCGCCGCAGGGACCTCGGTCTGGGTCTCGATCTCCCGCACGGTTGAGAGCGTGGAGTAACTGCGGCCCTCGGGCTCCTCGCTCTGCGCATCACGGGGGGGGGGGGGGGTCACACGCGTGGAGGGGTTCGGGTACCCCCAGGTGCGGTTTGCACCCGTGGAAGGGGCTGGGGGGGGCACCCGTGGGGGGGTGCAGGGCTTGTGCTGAGAGCTGCAGCCATGAGTTGGGAACCCTAAAGACCCCCCAAGTGCTTATAACCCCCATAGCCACCCATAGACACCCATAACCCCCATAGCCACCCATAACCCCCCATAACCCCCCATAGCCACCCATAGACACCCATAACCCCCCATAATCCCCATAGCCACCCATAGACACCCATAACCCCCCATAGCCACCCATAGACACCCATAACCCCCCATAGCCACCCATAACCCCCCATACCCCCCCAATACCACCCATAACCCCCCATAGCCACCCATAGACACCCATACCCCCCCATAGCCACCCATAGACACCCATACCCCCACCCCCATAGCCACCCATAGACACCCATAACCCCCCATAGCCACCCATAACACCCCCATAGTCACCCATAACCCCCCCATAGCCACCCATAACCCCCCCATTGCCACCCATAACCCCCCATAGCCACCCATAACCCCCCCATAGCCACCCATAACCCTCCCATAGCCACCCATAGCCACCCATAACCACCCCATAGGCACCCATAACCCTCCCATAGTCACCCATAACCACCCATAGTCACCCATAACCCCCCCCAGCCACCCATTACCCCCCATAGTCACCCATAAACCCCCCATAGCCACCCATAACACCCCCATAACCCCCCCATAGTTACCCATAACCCCCCCATAGCCACCCATAACCCTCCCATAGCCACCCATACCCCCCCCATAGCCCCCCAGTGCTCACCATGGCAGAGCAGATGCTGGTGCCCCTCAGGCTGTCCCCCCTCAGGCTGTCCCCCCGCAGGCTGCCCTGGCGGCTCTCTGCCCGCAGCTGCAGCGTCTCCTCCAGCTGCAAGAGCCCCGTTAGAGCCAGCACCCCATGGACACCCCATGGACACCCCATGGACACCCCATGGACACCCCATGGACACCCCATGGACACCCCATGGACACCCCATGGACACCCCATGGACACCCCATGGAGCAGCCCC